TTCGACCATGCCCAGCTCCCATCGCTGGCTCCACCCCTACTTCCTGCTATCACTGGCCAGGGTGGCAAAGTCGCCTGATTCTCCCCAGGGCCGCCTTTGCCCTGCCGCCCAGCTCTTAGCTCCCCCCTGGGTTTCCGATCACTGTCAGTGGCAGGGGGCTTCTTCCTGCTTTCCCTTTCGCCTCCCTGCACTGTGCCTACATATGCAAATTAACTGCCATCTTTGTTGTTAGTTAACTGCCATCTGAGTTGGCAGTTAATTTGCATATAGCCCTGATTAGCCAATGAAAAGGGTAGCGTTGTACGCCAATTACCATTTTTCTCTTTTATTAGTGTAGATGGGAATAATAATACTTATAGACCGATGGATGAGACCTAATAAGAAAATGAGTATATGTAAATATTAGCCCAGAACCTAGCACCTAGTAAATAGCCGATAAATGTTAACCATTATGTATGCATGAATTTATATTATCCCCTCCAGAGAGAACAAAATTAATGAACATGGGAAATCTTCAAAACCTTAAATGTTCCCATCATTATTGCTGGTCTGCAGTTTTCTGCTTCTCTCAGTGGTACACCTGGCACCTTCACTCTTGCTCTCCTCTTCCATTCTGCCCTCAGACTCCCACCGCTCTAGCTGATACCAACCCCTTCCTCCACAAAGGCCTCTGTTCTCAGGACAGAGCTGAGTGTTTTAACTGGTTAGTAGAGTTTTGGGTTTTGTGGGGTAGGTATACCTAAAATAATTTCTAGCAGCCTCCAATGGTCTGCATTGAATCCCTCATGTCTTTCTCACGGGGAATGACAGCCTTTCCTCTTTGTTGTGTGTGAATAGGTCCTTCCTGTTTCGATTTGCAAAGCCTTTATTTGCGTAAATTCCAGTTTTTAATCTAGTTCACTTGTATTGAATCTTCACCTGCTTCAAAAAATATAATGAAATACTTTCAATGTATAAAAAGGTATAAAGGAAAATATAGCAAACATGCATGTTCCCAGCACTCAGCTAATTTACCTCCTTCGTTTGTAGAGGAAGCTCAGTGTCTGCTAGAGCCTGACCCTCAGCACGGCCCATCTCTGGGTGCAGATTGTAATCTATCCAAGTGTGCATCTGCTTCACCCAAGGTTAGACTATTAGCATCCAGACAATTGTTTGGCCTGAGTTAAAATTCAGCTTCTTAAATCAATGATTTATTTAAAGAATTCTCAAAATATCAAGAGGTATTTCAGAAACATCAAACAGAAAGAAAAGCGGTAGTTAGTTAACCTTCGATCCAGAGTGCTCCATATCACGCTGTTGGATTTGTTATGTGCAATCCTGAGGTACACTTAGCAGCAATAATAACCACGTACTCCTATACAGTATTTTATTGATGACAGAACTTTCTTACACATCTGCCCATCTGTTCCTGACAGTGGAACCTCTGCGGTGTGTACTGCATGTGGCTCTTGGATCCTTGCACAGAGGAGAAGCAGCCATAATGATGAGGCTGGAGCAGGCAGCCTCAGAAGGTCTGCAGAGGAGTCATTTGCCTTCTGGCTCAAGCAGATTTTTTTAAAAATTTGTTTTTTCTAGTCCTTCCTCGAGGATATATTTTCATTGATTTGAGAGAGACACATCAATGTGAGAGGAAAACATGGATATGAGAAACATCAATCGGTTGCCTCCCTACAACCCCAACCAGAAATCGAACCCAAAACCTAGGTAGGTGCGCTGACTGGGAATAGAACCTGCAACCTTTTGGTGTAGGGGACAACGCTCCAACCAACTGAGCCACCCGGCCAGGGCTCCCATGGATTGTTGACATGCAGATATTTGCGCTGCATTGCCTCAGTTTCTTTGATTTGGACTCTCGTTCATTTCCACTTATTCATTTGGTAGGTTTATAAGTATTATTACTTTGGGGATTGACGAAAGCCAACAAAACATTTATTTCCCACCGAATAATAAAAATTATATGCTCAGTTTAGAAAACACGAATAATTCAGAGGAGTTTAAAAATGAAATTAAATATCACCTATAATTCCATAACCCAAGAGATAAGCACTCACTGTTAGCATTTTGATATGTTTTCTTTCTGGTCTTTTCTATGCATATACTTTTTTTTAAATAAAGAAACCATTAAAAATATATACTTTTGGTTCCAATTTTTACTTTCTTTAGATTGTTTTCAAGATATGATTTTCACTGGCAGTATACATTCCATCTGGTAGCTGAATCATAATTTATTTCATCATTTCCAATTTCTAGAAATTTATCTTACTTGCAGTTTTTAACCAAAATAAATAATACCACCCTGGCCAGGTGGCTTAGTTGGTTGGATAGTAGTCCCATACACCAAAAAGGTTGTGGGTTCAATCCCTTATTGGAGGCAACCTATCGATGTTACTCTATCACATCAATGTTTCTCTCTCTCTCTCTCTCTCTCTCTCTCTCTCTCTCTCTCTCTTCCTTTCCCCCCTTCCTCTCTCTCTAAAATCAATAAACATTCCCTTAGGTAAGGATTAAATAAATAACACCATTATAAACTGTTTTAGGTCACTTTTGTTTGACCTTCTGATTATATTCTTCTGGTTAGAGATGAACCATTTTAAGGCTCATGATGTATATGTTCCCAGATTGTTTTCCAAAAGGTTGTACAACATATACCTCCACCTGCAATGTTAGAGAGCTGGTCTCACTGCACTCTGGTCAGCTGAAGAGAATACATTTTTAAATATTTGCTAAGTTAGTGGGTGGAACATGGTATCTTGTTTTTATCACATTTGAGCTGTTTCAGCTTGTAATATGTTCTGTCTTGTATTTGTGTGATGTATTTTCCTTTACTCCGTGTGAGACTATTTGCAGATAATGCCTTAGTGATATCTTACTCCTTCCTTGGTGTTAGTAATAGGGACATTCCTATGAACTGTCTGTGTTACCTGTCTTATTTATCAATGTTAATAGCAATTATCTTTCAGAATAAATATTGGACTCATCTAGGGAGATGGGGTGGGTTATGAGACCACCCACCTCTACCCAAAGGAAGAAACACCTCCTGGAAGTGGGGGACGTCTGCTCATCTGGCACAGAGTTTCACTCTAGTTTCCCTGCCTGCCTGGGGGAAGCAGGGAGACGTTTTAATGTTTCTACCCATTGCATTCCAGTCCCCCAGGGTAAACGCACAGAAGGCCTTACTCTGCTTCCCTGTTTGGGGTATGAGGGATGCTAGGTAAGACTGAGTTAGAAATGTCCCAACCACAGTCCCCTGGATCTGGAATAAGGGCACCCAGACCTTAAGCAGGAGACAGACAGAGGAAAAGTCCAGGGAAGTAGGGATGTCCCACATGACTCTTAGGGCTAGGCTCTCTTTTCTCAGTGAGGTAATCTAGTGTTCCCCAAATCACGATTTCTTTTTACCATTTTCTATATTACTATTTACATTTAAAAAAACTCATTTTATTTACATAATTAGGTTTTTTTTAAATCTTATTGTTTCTATAAATGGAAAACCAATACTGTTTTCCAAAAAAAAGAAAGTAACCTTAAAAATAAACAGTGAAAAACTAGCCCAGCCAGGTGTGACTTAGTGGTTGAGTGTCGACCTATGAACCAGGAGGTCACGGCTCGATTCCTGTCAGGGAACATGCCTGGGTTGCAGGCTCGATCCCCCATGGGGGTGTGTGTGCAGGAGGCAGACAATCAATGATTCTCTCTCATCATTGATGTTTCTGTCTCTTTCTCCCTCTCCCTTCCTTTCTGAAATCAATAAAAATATATTTGTTAAAAAAAAAACTAAAACAATCTTATTAATTAAATTCTAAGCTAGGTCCTATTGCTTACAAATATGTCAGTTCTGAAACTGCCCTCACTTTGTTAAAAAAAAAAGAAAGTCTTTTAGACAGACTAGCACCAAACTGAGACCATCTTCTCACGGCCAGCAGGCCGACTTTAACAGAATAAAAAAGGACCACATGTTCATTTTGGAACTCAGTGTTTAATGCTATTTATGGTCTACCTAAAGTTGCCTCACTTATTCTACCAGTAGTTTATGTCCTACTCTAAGGAGTAGTTTAGGTTATGTTGCCATAACAGGTTAAGTCTAAAATTTCGGTGGGTTGACACACAAAGCTTAGTGGATTAGGGTGGGACTGGAGGGCAGGCTGTGCTGCAGTACTCACGCTGCTGTCTAGGCTGAGGGAGGCGCCACCATCTGGAGCCTCCTCAGTTACTGTGGTAGAAGAAAGTTTATGGAGAACTCACACCTGTTCTTTTATGCTTGGGCTTAGAAATGATCTGCTCACTTCTCTCCTGAGCCCATTGGCCAGAGCTAGTCATGTGGCCTCACCTAAGTGCCAAGGGACTGGAAAGTATAGAGGAGCACATGGAATAGCTGGTGAGCGTTGCTGTCTTGCTACATCTGCTGCAACACTGGACTCGTCTAGATGCATCTAGATGAGGAATGGATTTGGGTGTTTTTTTGTTTGAAGAAGTTAATGATTGTGTATGAGATCGCTTATAAAACTATTAATAGTACCTTAAGCAAGTGGTGAGATGTGCCAGACCATTCCTTGGTAATAGTGTCTCCTTTCTTAAAGCTTCATTAAAGAACGGTCAAAAGTCAATGCAGTTCCCCTGAAGAATAAGAAGGCCTCCAGTTTCCATGAGTTTGCCCGGAACACCAGTGATGCTTGGGACATTGGCGATGATGAGGAAGAGGACTTTTCCCCCCCTTCTTTCCAAACTCTGAACTCAAAGGTTGCTTTGGCAACTGCAGCTCAAGTCCTAGAAAACCACAGCAAGCTGAGGGTGAAACCAGAACGGTCCCAGTCAACAACATCCGACATTCCTGCCAACTACGTCATAAAGTCCAGCAGTGATGCCCAGCTGTCCAGAAATTCCAGTAAGTCCATCCTGCTCACCTCCATAGCCCCGACGTTTTTTTTAGCAGAGTGCATTTTAAATAAAACATTTTTTCTTTAGGAAATCACTCAGATTTTCCATTGGATGGTAAATAAGCAAGCTGAAGCCTAAGGTATGACATCAGTGAGCCTAATTGGTCCTCCCACCTGGGTGGCTGCCTGGCCCTGTGACCTGGGCTTCACTTCCTGACACCCAAGTGTTGCCTGCCAGTCTCTTTCTTTCCTGTGCTGGGGTCCGAAACTTTGATGGCTTCGCATTGCTTTAGGCATGGTTAGGTTGAAGAATATTGACTAATGTATTTAAGGCTGTTCACTGAATTCCACAAAGGTTTGGTGCTATTGGTTGGCCTCCTCAGCGGTGGGGAGCAGCCACTAGCATAGGTTGTCTCTCCTGTTCCTGAAGGCCCTGTGCCCCAGCTCCCTGCCCATCAGGTTGGGGAGCAGGAGGAGATGCCCCTCTGTGTCTCTTCAGGAGGCTTCAGTAGCTGGTTGAGGTGATGTGGCTTTATCAGATATTCGGAGACTCTCAGTGTGCACTTTTTTTGTTAATCGTCACCCTAGGATATTTTCCCATTGATTTTTAGAGAATGGAAGGGAGGGGAAAGACAGAGAGAGAGAAACATTGATGTGAGAGAGACACATCAATTGGTTGCCTCCCACACTCCCCCCAACCAGGGATCGAGCCTGCAACCAAGGTTCGTGCCCTTGACTGGAATCAAACCCGAGACCCTTCAATCCTCTGGGCGACACTCTATCCACTGAGCCAAACTGGATATACAGCAATGTGCATTGCTGTATTTAATGTATCCCTAATGGGTTTTATGGGCACCAGTTATTCTGAGCTGGAGAGGGAAGTGCTGTCATTTTAGTGAAAGTTAAAACAGCTGACTGGTAAAGGGTGAAAAGGAAGTAGAAGAATGCAGAGCCCTGGAGCATGTCCTGGCTCAGGTCCTAAGAGAACTTCTTTCACAGTTTCAGATTAAGCATGCGTTCATGAAATTGAGCTGGAAGGCCTTTAAAATCATTCCCCAAACACTTTCCGTAGCTGATCCGGGCCCCAGCTTGAACCTTCGGTGCCAGGTGCAGACGGGCATTTAGTGTTGGTTGACCAGGGGCCACAGCTACAGACAGTGTCTGTGCATTGTGACTGAAGGTCTCCAGTGTGAGGAAGAGCCCTCCAGGATCCCTAGTGAGCTACCTTTGTGCAGCCAGGACCACCCAGAGCAGCGGTTCTCAACCTGTGGGTCGCGACTCCTTTGGTGGTCGAACGACCCTTTCACAGGGGTCGCCTAAGACCATCCTGCATATCAGATATTTACATTACGATTCATAAGAGTAGCAACATTACAGTTATGAAGTAGCAACGAAAATAATTTTATGGCTGTGTCACAACATGAGGAACTGTATTTAAAGGGCCAGAAGGTTGAGAACCACTGACCTAGAGCCTTCCCTTTATGAGGTTCCTTCCTATTGTCATCTGTCAGTCACTGCTGCCAGACGTGCACATGGCCTCTGCACTGCGCCGTGAGCCAAGTACCCTGCAGCACTTGTTTCTGTAAACCTGATAGTTGTGCTGGTTGTCACTCTTTACTAGTAATTCTTATTGTGACTTATGCTCATAAGGCCCTGATGGAGAAAGAATGTGAACCAGTCATGAAAGCTCAGTCAGAGTTTAAAACGGAGTTTTGTTTGGGGGCAGTAAAATAAATAACAGTTTTAGAGTCAGAAAAATCGAGGTGGCCTCTCAGCTCTCCCTTGTAAGTTACTTAACCTCTCTGAGCTGCAGTTTCTTCATCTGTAGATTAGTAATAAATGAGTAAGTTCCCGCTGTATGCTGTAAGGGTCAAAGGAGAGATATGTAAATGTGACCAGCATGAAGCCTTATGCATAGTAAGCACTCAGTAACGTTATTCCTATACTGCTTCTTTCTCCCATCTGGTGTAGAAATGTCTAGAACCAGACAAAGAGTTCAGCTAGAGCTGTGCTCTTGCCATTTTAGTCATATCACAGCAGAATTAAACGCTGGTTCATTTGGGGAAACGTGGAGCACAGAGGAACTGCAGCCACCAGAAGTGGGGTTGCTTCAGGCCAGAGCGTCTCACCCATGCAGGGCACATGGTGCGCCAAGAAAGGTTAGAGTTGGGCCAGGGACATTGACCCTCCCAGCCCTTGGGGCAGCGGCGTGGGGCTGGGCTTCAGGAGAGCCACCTCCTTGCATTGCAGTGTGCTTTATAGTGTGGTTGTTTCTTGTGTGCTCTGTGCTGTGGAAACGGAAGGTGAACACATGTTGCCCCCAAACTCATCATTCGGCACCAAGAAGAGTTCCAGGTTGGGGAAGAAAGAAAACATTAGTTTGCCATCAGCGGTCGCCAAAAAAGTTCTTGAAGTTGCTGCAGCATCCGTGTCTCCATTAGCATATAAGATGCCTTGTACACATGATGAAAAACACAGCCAGCCTCTGGGCGGAAGAGTTGAGCACAGCTGGGTTTCCATCCCGGCTGCCCCTTAGCTGGGCACCCCGGATGCACAAACTGTGCTGCTGAGGCTCGTGGAGGAGACCATACTGAGCAGTTAGGTTACTCAGAGTCCGTGCTCTTCACACAGCTCGTCTCTTTCTCTTTGGAATTATCTCAGGTGATTCATGCCTGAGGAATGCACTCCACAAACAGCAGTCACTCCCTCTCCGACCCATCATCCCCCTTGTTGCCCGGATCTCAGACCAGAACGCGTCTGGGGCACCCCCGATGACTGTCCGGGAGAAAACCCGCCTAGAAAAGTTCCGTCAGCTTCTCTCCAGCCACAACACTGACTTAGGTGAGTCCCCGTGAGCCCTGGGCAAGATAGGGCCTCTTGGTGACTGGGATTCTCAGAGCCCTGGAAGCCATTGCTCTTTATTCTTCCTTCTTTTACTTTTCCAGCATCTCCCGATCTGGTGCCCATTGCAGTGACATGCAGGTATTAAGTCAGAAGTATGTTACTAGAAATGAGGGGCCAAATGAGGTGGGACTGGATTCTGTGGCCTGTAGACCATAGTGCAGTTATTCTGGCTTCGGTCTCTCCCACCTCAAGGCAATTCTATGGAAATCCACACTGGTCTTTCTCTTCCCCTCTAACCTCTGAGCCCAGACTGGATCCCTGCCATAGAGCGTGTCCTTGGCACTTTGCTGCTCAGGGCTGTTGTTTTGGGCTTCCCCTGGTGCTTGTCAGTAGCTGGTGGTGGTGGTGATCATCTTACCTGAATGGTGGGAGGCATCAGGCCGTACTGGCCGAGGTTTGTTTTAGGGCATTTATGGGAAGAGCTCAATCGAGGAGCTGTTATCTGTTTGCAGATGAGCTGAGGAAGTGTAGCTGGCCAGGTGTTCCCAGGGAGGTTCGGCCTGTAACCTGGAGACTCCTGTCGGTGAGTTCTACCCACGTGTAGAGAAGTGTGAGCCTCACACGGCCCTTCTTACCTGATGAGGTTAGTGTGGGCACATCCGTCTTACTCCCTAGACTTCTCTGGTCCTGCTGGAGATGACAGAACATGGGCTGCAGTCCTGCGTCTGCACGCAGACACACGTTCTGGAGAGTTCATTTTAACACACATAGAAGACCACACATTGGCTACCATAGTCGCAGTCTCATGTTCTCAGTGTGAGGGAGGGAGAATAGAGTGAGGCACGGTCGTCCCAGCACTGGCCCCTGTGCTTCACCCCTTCTCCGGAGGAAAAACCGCAGTGGTTGACACCCACTGTGCGACAAGAAGAGCTGGTGAAAGGGCCTCCCTGCCAAGCCTGCATCGTCCCACTTTCCCTGAGGGCAGAACACTGGCCAGCACTGTTGCAGGAGCACTTGGATTTCCTGAGCCCGTAAAATTCACTCATTCTTTTAGCAAGGATTTATTGAGGGCCTGCTGTTCACCAGGCACGGTGCCAGGTGCCGGGAGGGTATACATAAATGAGTCAGCCACAGTCCCTGCCTGCCAGGCATTCGCCGAGGAATGTATTGCATGAGCGTCTGGGAGAGGAAGGGTCTCCCTCCCGGCTGCTCCCCACCCCTTGCAACCATGAATCATTGAATCATTGCCTCTGCCATTTCTAATTAAGTTCAAGTACTGTGAAGAATAGATTGGTGAGAACGGAAGGAGAGCAGGAGGTGTAAGAATTGGAAGTGGGATCTAGACCAGAGACAAGAATGGAAGCTGGCCTGGAGCTTGGGCTAGGAGGGGGCTGCTGCCATAAGTCCTGTGTCTGGACATTGCAGCTGCTATGTCACAGATTCCATTCAGCTTCCCAAGCTGGTAATTCCGAATGTTACATGGAAAAGAGTGGGTAACGGACACATACTTACATGGCACGTCACTGAGATTTGCTGTAGACACGACCGTCTCCCTCTGATCCTCAGAGGTGTTGCCTTGTACACACATAGCCCTCGAGGTCCTGGCTTGGGTCCAGTTCCCCCCGCCTGACCTACATGCACTGTCTCTGTGCTGGCTCTGGGAGTCCTGTGTGCTCACCAGCAGAGCACAGGCTACAAGAGTAAATAGTCCTGGGAGCGTTGGCCGTGGCTTATCTGCCCACATGTGAGTCTCACTGGATGAGGGAAGGCAGACACGGTGGCCGAAACAAAAAAGGGATCCACCCTTGTTCTCGAGCCAGTTTTCCTTCCATTTCTCTGATAGTTTCCAAGTCACTGCTCAGACTAAAATAAAAATTAAGGATTCATCCAACCAGCATCTGTCCCCATCTGACTAGCCATCCTGTCTGCAGGGCTATCTCCCAGCCAACACCGAGAGGAGGAAGCTGACCCTGCAGAGGAAGCGGGAGGAGTATTTTGGCTTCATTGAGCAGTATTATGACTCTCGAAATGAGGAGCATCACCAGGATACCTACAGACAGGTACAGTTATCACCGGCTGCCTTTGCTAACTAGTCATAATCTTAAGGTGTGTCTTCTGGGAGTGCTATCAGGGTACAGATTTTCCAAGTCTTCAGGCTATGGTGTGCTGCTTAGGAATGACATTTATTCCTGGTATGCAGAGTAGATGGGGCGGGGTGGGGGGAGGGCGGGGGGAGTCTGGGAAAAATTATTCCTAGAACTGCTTTCCCTTTTTCTAATTCAGTAGCTCTGGTTTTAATCATTTTAAATAGATCTCTCCCCGCCACCACTACTCCCTCACCCCACCCCAGGCTAATGGCAGTGCTTCTCAAACTTTAATGTGGATACAAATAACCTAGGATTTTGGTGAAATCCTACTTAGGGATTATGATAAAATGCAGATTCTAATTCAGTAGGTCTGGGGTGAGACCTTCACTTCTAATGAGCTCCCAGGTGAGGCCAGCGCTGCTGTTCCACAGACCTCACGCCAGTAGTAAGGATTATGGGGCAAAGATGAAAGATGGGTTCACTCGGGAGTGGTCCAGTCCCCCTGGACAGCGATATCAGTGCCTGTTTAGCACCCATGTCTCTCTGTTTGTCTGTAGGAGTTGTCGCCATCAGCAGCCTTGGCAGGGAGCGTTCCATCATTGCTCACAGTGGTCCCCATGCTTATGGGAAGGTGGAGGGGGAGAAGAGCAGTCTGGTGGTTGCAGAAGAGGGAAAAGATGGGGGAGGCAGCTTGTCTACAACAAGCCCTAAGAGCTGAAGTATCTTCTGCCGCTGCCAACACAGTCCTTACAGTTGTTAGACTGGGCACTGGGGAAACTGAGGCCAAAATCCACTATAGTGCCCTCTTTGGAAACAGAAGTCAGAACTTGCAGTGCCAGTTACTGAAGGGCAGCTCCTCCTGTTCCCCCTCTTCTGCATTGTAACTTCAGGAGCAGGTCCTTCTTGGTCCCCTATCCTGGCACGTTTTTGCAGCTGTCAGAGCTCTTACTTAGTTCCTGGAAACTGATGATGACTAAGATTTGGAAAGAAGGATCCACATTTTGATCATTACTACTAAAGAAGTGAAACAGACCACAGAGCAATAGGAAAAAGCAGGGGGTTCTCTCAGGTGTGAAGCCTATTGCTATTTGTGATAAGTGGTGTTGCGGGGAGTTTTCCTCACTGTTCAGTAAGCTATTGCTATCATGGAAACATATTTGAGATGGACAGGTTGGTTTAACTAGACTTTTTTTGTATGTCAGTTCTTTCTAAAGATAAATTGTGCTCTCACTCATACTCCCTTGATACTAGTTCTTATAAGAAAATAACATCTCAGAAGAATAAGGTAGCATTTGTGTTTGGCCATGGCTTCTCTTTTTCAGATCCACATTGACATTCCAAGGACGAATCCTCTCATTCCATTGTTCCAGCAACCACTTGTACAGGAGGTGAGGGAAATACTTAACATTCTCAACCCTTCTCCCCTCATATCTCTGCGGCCCCAGTTCTGTGTGGATGGGTGCTGGAGCCTTCTCCTAACCATGGCAAGTTTACAGCTAACGTGGTGTACCTGTATGCAGATGTGGAGCGCTTCAGAGCACTTTCTTGTGCATTCTCATGTTCTCTTCCTAACACACCTGTGGGCTGAGTAGTGTGAGAGTTTAAGGGGCTTGCCTCCAGTCTTGAGGCTACCTGGTGACAGAATGAAAAAGCAGGGGGTTCTCTCAGGTGTGAAGCCTGAGAGAGTTCCTAGTCTGGTGTTTGTTCTGCTTTATCAAGCTGAGATAATGATTTTGATTTTTCTTATTATTGTAAATATACGTAACAAAACAACCATTACCACCATCCATCTCTAGAACTTTTTATTTTCCCAAACTGAAACTGTCCCCATCTATCCTATATAATGAAGAGGTAATATGCAAATTGACCATCATGCCCTCGCACAAGATGGCTGCCCCCATGTGGTCAAAGATGGCTGCCACAAGATGGCCGGCAGGGGAGGGCAGTTGGGGGGGACCAGGACTGCAGGGAGGGCAGTTGTGGGCGATTAGGCCGGCAGGGGAGGGCAGTTGGGGGCAATCAGGCTGGCAGGGGAACAGTTAGGCATCGATCAGGCAGGCAGGTGAGCAGTTGGGGAGCCAGCAGTCCCGGATTGTGAGACGGATGTCTGACTGCCAGTTTTTATTTTCTCAAACCTGCAGTCGGATATCCCCCGAGAGGTCCCAGATTGGAGAGGGTGCAGGCTGGGCTGAGGGATACTCCCCCTACCCCCAGTGCATGAATTTCATGCACCAGGCCTCTAGTCCTATATAATAAAAGGCTAATATGCAAATCGACTGAAAGGTGTAAAGACCGGTCACTATGATGTGCACTGACCACCAGGGGGCAGACGCTCAACGCAGGAGCTGCCCCCTGGTGGTCAGTGTGCTCCCACAGCGGGAGTGCCGCTCAGCCAGAAGCCCTGAGCCGAGCTTACGGCTAGAGAGCACAGCAGTGGTGGTGGGAGCCTCTCCCGCCTCCGTGGCAGCGCTAAGGGTGTCCGACTGCCCGCTTAGGCCCGCTCCCCATGGGCCTAGCTTACACGTATCGGGCCGAAAGTGGCAGTCCGACATCCCCCAAGGGGTCCCAAATTGCGAGAGGATGCAGGCCAGGCTGAGGGACCCCACTGGTGCCCAAATCCATGCACCGGGCCTCTAGTTAAACAATAACTAACTCTCTATTCCCCAGCAGCCACCATTTTACTTTCTTTCTCCATGAATTTGACTGTTCTCGGTACCTGTAATAAGTGAGATCATGCAATATTTGTTCTTTGGTGTCTAGCTTATTTCACTTTGTATGATATCTTCAAGGTTCATCCATATTATAGCATGTGCCAGAACTTCCTTCCTTTTTAAGGATGAATATTTCATTATACTAGTATGTATATAACACATATTATTGATCCATTCACCTACAGTGGACAGTTCATAATGCTGCTATGAACATGGGCAGGCAAATATCTGGCTGAGTCCCTGTTTTAAATATATTTTCTTTTAATCCTCACCCCAGGATATTTTTCCCATTAGTTTTTTTAGAGAGTGGAAGAAAGGGGGAAAGAGACAGAGAAACATTGATGTGAGAGAGACACATCAATTGGTTTCCTCCCACACGCGCCCCAACCAGGGCCAAGGATTGAACCTGCAACTGAGGTACGTGCCCTTGACCGGGAATCGAACCCACAACCTTTTTGGTCTGTGGGTCAACACTCTAACCACTGAGCTAAATCAGCCAGGACCTGTTTTATACTCTTTTGGGTATGTACTGGGGGAACCCTCATGTAGAGAGGAAGGGAGAATGAGGAAGAGAGAGAGAGAAACATTAATGATGGGAGAGAATCATTTATCGACTGCCTTCCACACACTTCCTACTGGATGGAGCCTGCAACCCGGGCATGTGCCCTGACTAGGAATCAAACTGTGACCTCCTGGTTTATGGGTTGACCTCAACCACTGGGCCACACCAGCCAACAAGTCCTCTTTAATAGAGTAAACTGCTAACTAGGGAGCAGAGAACTGAGTAACCCTGAATACTGAAAGACTTGTTTTGCAAACTTACTAGTAAAAGGCATACCAGCATTAACTAGAATAAGTCAGAATTACCCACACTGATAGAAGAGGGGAAGGAAAACCTTCAGGGATTAGCCTCTCCTCTCCTCCCTGCAAAACCAGATCATCCCAGAATTGTTTCATAGTGAAAATGCCATGGTCTCCTGTGGTAACCAGAATACTGTTCAATTTCCACCTCTGACATCTTCACTGGTACAGGGTGAGTGTGTCTGCATCGTCCCATCCTTACTATAAGATTGGCCAGTGTTAAAGCCATTCACCAGGATTTGTGTATTCACAAGGTGCTGGAAGTGTGGGGTCCAGGCCTGGTTAGCCCTTCAGAAGGACTGACCTGGAGGAGCTGTTAACAGAGACATCCAGACAGACACAGGCCACAGGAGGTGTGAGGAGACAGAGTGGGGTAGACAGTCCTTGGCATCTTCCTGAACATGGTGGGTCTAGCTCAGGGGTGGGCAAACTTTTTGACTCGAGGGCCACAATGGGTTCTTAAACTGGACCGGAAGGCCGGAACAAAAGCATGGATGGAGTGTTTGTGTGAACTAATATAAATTCAAAGTAAACATCATTACATAAAAGGGTACAGTCTTTTTTTTTCAATAGTTTTATTCATTTCAAACGGGCCGGATCCAGCCACAGGCCGTAGTTTGCCCACGGCTGGTAGCTTGACCTACAGTGTCTAGAGTCATTTAGCAGCAGAGGGGAAAGAATGTAGGTTGGCCCCCACTAGAGTATTGGGTCCAACACAAATGAGGACACTATGCCCTTCCCTCAGCCCCAGAGAGCAAGTGGGCAGGTAGAGCAGAGGCAGAGAGGCCAGCGCCTCCCACACCGGGTTCTGTTCTCACCCCTGGGAGTGCAGGAGCGCTGACACTGCGAGGCGGGCTCAACAGGTACCTACAGATGCTCTACCTGTCTCCTCCACTAGCAACCCCTACAAACCACACAACTGTTTCCTTTTTACCGTTCTCCCTCGGAGCTAGCTGTCTGTCCCTCTGCCTGACCTCTGAGAGGGCCTCTTCAATTTGCCCCCAGAGCCAACTGTTTGGGGCTCTGCAAGCCCGTGTGCTATGGAGGCCCTGTAGTGTCCTGTCCCTCTGTACGTCACCTACACCTCTGTCACCCTCCATGTGATTCGTAGAGACATGGACAGTCCATGTCGAGCCTAGGAGTTGTGGTCAGTGGGATGAAGCCAGGGATATTAGCACGCTGAAAGAAGACGGTGAAAGCCCAGGGGGCCTAATGGAAGCAGAGGGGAGTGTGGCTCAGTGAGTGGGATAGGGCCAGACTCTGTGACGGAACCATAAAGATCTCTTCTTTCTCCCCATCCTAAGCCTCTGGCTTCTTGTGGCTAATACGCTTATCCCCAGAGGCTTTCCATGGAGACTGTGGCTGATTTCTCTGTTCTCAGATTCCCAGCTGTAGGAATCCATAGAATTTGGTTTATTTAACTCCCTATCCCTAGCAAATGTCTGGGTTGCATCCTGATATATGAAGTGACTTCCTGCATTTATCATCTATTACTAGATCTTTTTCTGTCTCAGCGGGGAGAAAGGAGAGGGCGGTAGAGAAGGTATTTCCTATCTACATCCTGTAATGACAAAAAGGATTTACCAGAAGCATCAGAACTTAAAATTGTCTGAATAACAACATCCTGAATCAATGACATCATTGCAAACCTTTTTCTAAGCCGTTGGGTCACCATCCTTTTTTTTGCCCAATTTAATATCACAGTAACTAGATACTGAGAAGGCAAAGGGCAAGAAGTATCGTAACTCTACTTAAAAACATTTAGTGTCTTAGAAACCTTTTATATTTCTATACTTCGTCTTGTGGTATTTAAAAAAGTTTCCTAAAAATTCTGCAGCAACTGTAGGATGAATTGTGAGGTAGGTAAATGGAGGGATGGAGTGTATCCCCATGGTTTAACAGTCATGTCTCTTTCTTCCCTAGATCTTCGAAAGAATTCTATTTATTTGGGCCATCCGACACCCTGCCAGTGGGTATGTCCAGGGAATTAATGACCTGGTCACTCCGTTCTTTGTCGTCTTCCTCTCAGAACATGTGGGTAAGAAGCATGAGTACCAAGTTGAACAAGCTCTTGTTCTTTCTCATCTTTAGTGTGTTTGTTTTCCCGAGTGCGGCCAGTAGGCATGTCTTGCTGAGAAAGGACAGTGACTTTAGAGTACACAGCTAAGCCTGTTTTTTGTTGTTGTTTAATCCTCACCCAAGCATATTTTTTTCCATTGATTTTCAGACAGTGGAAGGGAGGGGAGAGACAGAGAGAAACATCAATGTGAGAGAGACACATCGATTGGTTACCTCCCATACACACCCCAACTGGAGTGTGAGGCCGGGGCTGGAGCCTGCAACCAAGGTATGTGCCCTTGACAGGAATCGAACCCAGGACCCTTCAGTTCGTGGGCTGATGCTCTAACCATTGAGAAAACTGGCTAGGACCACAGCTAAGCCTATTTTAAAGGCAATAGCAGCCTGAAATTTCTCTCTTGAAATGGTTGCAAATCTCACCTAAAAAGACCTGCTTTGTCACAAGAATGACCAAAATGATATGTTCTGTCATAAACAGATGGTTTGATAATTTAATTGGAATCATTTTAGGGTTATTTTGAAGTTGTTTGAAACACAGGCCCTCATTCATGAAAGCTAGAATTTTAGATTGTATATAGGACTTCCCACTTTGGTTCATATGCTATTTTTTCTTTTTTTTTCATCCTCACCTGAGGGTATTTTTCCCATTGATTTTTCAAGAGAGTGGAAAAGAGAGGGACAGAGAGAAACACCGATGTGAGAGGAACACATCAATTGGTTGCTTCTGGCATGCCGTGGACCAAGGTCAGGAACCTGCAACTGAGGCACGTGCCCTTGACCAGAATCGAACCCAGGACCCTTCAGCTCACAGGCCGACACTCTATCCATTGAGCCAGACTAGCTAGGGCCACATGCTATTTTTCAGTAGAGGGATGTGGACACGTAGAGGGGAAAGGTTGTAGCACCAGAATCCAGCTCACACTAAGGTAATGGAATGAACTGAGGCGAGCACCACACCTTGATTTCTTCCCTTCCTTCTCCACCTCTGACCCCACTAGACTCCTGTCACTTTGGGTAGAGTGATTAGATGTCACGGTGGCAGTCAGGTTTACTTGCAGCCCAAGCCTCCCCCCTGGCGTAATGAGAAGTGGACTAGAGTGGAGACCCTTGACATGGGAGGGGCTAAGAAATGTCTCACTTGATTTGTCCTGTTCAGGTTTTCTGAAGGGACTTAGAGGGATGATGTTTTGTAAGACAACATGAGTGAAAAAGGTCAGACAGAAAAAGTTAAGAACCATATGATTTCACTCATACGTGGAATATAAACTGAAACTTCAGGGGAAAAAACAAACAAAACTGAAACTTATGAACACAAACAGCAGAATGGTGGTTGCCAGAAGGAAGGGGGTTCGGGGTAAAGGGAGTGCTAATATGAGGTGCCAGGAGAAGATTTGACTTTGGGTGGTGGCACATGGTACAATATACAGATCTTGTAACATAAAAATCCACATATGAAGCCTATATGTTCATGTTGACCATTGTTACCCCAATAAATTTAATAAATAGTTTTTTAAAAAGTATGACAACAGAATGACATCATTCTGGTTCCCCTGAATTAGCAGCAACCAGGGCAGAACTGGAGTCAGAGTGGAAGGTCACTCTTGCCCACTCTGTCAGGTGATCCTAAGCAGAAGCGTGACTAGTAAAATTTAGCCACCAGAAGAGTTTAAATAAAGCTTTTGCTAGAGGACTTTTCATTTTCCCTTCACATTAATAGGTCAGCTATTGGAAGTATCTTAATTCTGCGTGTTTAATTTTTTAAGAGCAATGCAACTGATGGGATTTTTTTGGTTGCTGCTTGCAATTCTTTGATAGGACTGCATTCTGATCTTGGTATTTGGCTTGTCAGCGCCCCCTGCTGACCCACCGTGTTTATGCAGTGCAGCATGGGCTTCTGTGGCAAGCCTTCCGTAGCTATTTCGCCTGCCCTTCTAGGCAGGGCCCATTCATTTTTTACAAACATTTTAGCTATGTTATTTTTTAAGCATATGTAAAAGTAGGTAAAATAATAGTGCAAATCCCCATGTAATTATTACCCAACTTCAACAGCCCGTCTTGTATCTTCTGTACCTCTGTTCATTCTCCTTCCCCTCAGCTTTGTGAATTATTTGGGAGCTGATCTCAATATCAAGCATCATATTTCATCCATAAATATTTTCATATGTATCTCTAGAATATAATAGTGAAAGAAACCCAGAGCCATAATGCAATTATTACATCTAAAAAGTAATAATAACTCCTTAATATAATCTCATAGACAACAGTAATTAATTTCCCTGATTCTCATAAATATATTTAACAGTTTGAATTAGAGTCCAAATTTGGTCCACACATTCTAGTTGGTTGATACATC